GTGTGTGTGTGTGTGTGTGTGTGGTTAATTCCCACATTTACCTTCATCCTGTTCCTGGAGTTGGACGGGGTGGTGCGTACACATCTCAGGGGACTCCAGGATTTAACCTTTGACCTCCATTAAAGTGTGAGAGCAGCCTTCGGGGAGGATGTTGAGTCGACTCAGGAAGCGAAGGCAGGTGTCAGCTGCTGGTGTTGGTGACATCGGACCCTTCGACTGACCATTCACTTTTTTTCTCTGAACTTCACTGTCGGACCTTTTCACTTAGTAAGAAACAAAGCAACGGAAACTTTGGTGCTTTCCTTCCAAAGATATTTAGCACATTCCGCATTGTTGGACAAATAAAGATTTATCTTATCGATCATTAAGTTCAGTGTATATTCAACCTATACACATTTAAAAAACACCTTTCCATTTGAATTTTCACGTTTTGATCTATTGTTTTGAAAAGTAGTTTTTTACTCACTAGTACTCAATAGTTTTTTACTCACTAATCATTTAGTATATAAAACATTGTTTTAAAAAAACGAGCTTTAAGAGCCCAGAGTCTAAAAATGTCTATTTGTCCAGATAACATCCTAAAACCTACTTTAAAAGATATATTTTAAAAGATATAACACATTTGTGAAGCTTCATTTTGTTTGTTTTAACAAATGTAATGATTAAAAAGAAGAAAATGAAATTGTGATGTTGCCTTCACCCATGCTTCAAACATATTTTCTTTTTTTGCATCTTCATACTTACTCATAATATATTCTTCTGCAGGTGAACACAGACCTGAGTAAAAATGCCCCTGTCCCATTCAAAATGTGATTTAATTCCCTTTTTTTCTTATTGAACATTACAGCCAATGCCTCAGACAACTGAAGAGAGAAGCAGGATTTACAATAACAAGTGCAGATCCTGTGTCGAGGGGTCACCGAGCAAATACACAGACAGTTCTTTTCTTATATTCTGTATCGGCTGAACTGAGATTTAAAAGTCGTGCTGCTGCAGTGAAATGGCAGTGACATTTTTTTTTGCACACTTATACTGCACGGTCAGCAACATTAAAAGGAAAAATTCTCATCACAGATCACAAAACATCTAAAATTCTGGACCATCTGATCAGATAATGAGTCGACATCAGAAACAACAAGACTGAAATCAGCATAAAACGTCTGAATGGTCATAATTGAATTGTCCTCTGTCAGTAATTTTTATAAACATGTGCTTTAGTGACTTAGCTATAAAAACACATAACAATCAGTCAGTTCAAGATTTTAAAAAAATAAAAATAAAAACAAAGGGAGCACACTGGCTTTAAATTATCTTTTAAAATTATTGTTTCTTAAAGAGCAAAAAACACATATCATGATAAAAAAGCTTGTTCAGACGACCCTCTCTATCGTCTACATGGCATTTAGGGAAATACACTTATTTTCTGACTTAGCTGATGACACTCTTTTATGTCTGTATGAAGGTGGTGTTAGCTTAGCTTAGCATGACTACTGGATACAGAAGGAGACAACCAGCATCTCTTGTCCAAAGTAATTGAAATCTGTCTACCTGTACCTGGACAGAGCCGGGCTAGCTGTTTCCACTCTTTGTGCTAAAATAAGCTATGCTAAGCTAACCATGTCTTTTTGTTGCAGGCTCATATTCAACCAACATTATGAGAGCGGTTATGAATCCTCTCATTTAACACTCGACAAGAGAATAAGTGCATTTCCCCAAAAGGTTGAATGTTTTTTTAAAGGTTTCCAGACTCTGATATATTACAGCATTGTGTGAAGTCAGTTGAATTCTGAGGTGTGAAAAGAAACCCGTTAAAAAAAAGATTTACCTGACAGTGTTCATGAAAGGTGCAGTGTCTTTAGAGAGAGCGTCCGGTCCGCTGTGCTGAGCGTGTCGACCATAAACAAGTGTTTAGCTCTCGTCACCATCCTCCAATCTGCCGTCGTTCACCAGTCTCTCTCTTTCTCCTGGGCTGCTCTCCTCAGCCACGTTCGAAAAGCGAGCGCAGCACGGTATCCTGGCCAGCAGGGGTCGGTGCAGTCCGTTGTAGAGGCCTGTGCCGAGCAGCAGGACCAAGAAGCCCAGGACCTGAAGGCCCTGAAAGTGCTCCCAGCCCAGCGCCAGGCTCACCACCCAGATGACCAGCGTGCGCAGGCTGTCCAGCACCATGCGGGTGGTGGCGCTGATCTCTTTGGTGACGCTGATGCCGGCGAAGTTGAAGAAGGCGATGCTGACCGTGTTGCCCAGCAGAGCCAAAATGATGAGGGGCTGGTGTCCGATCTGACAGAAGGCGTCCAGCGCGTCCTCCAGCACCTCCCGAGGGTTGTTACTGAAGTCGCCCACGTGGATGAAATACATCGGGATGAGCAGCAGCGACAGGACGAAGAAACCAAAGAAACCTGGAAACAGAAAACCAAGTTTAATCTGACCTGTAGATCCCAAACTAGTCGACTTGTGACCCCTTAAATGAATCTTTTATGAGAACTTGCTCTGGAAAACATACAGATAAGTCATAGCTAACACTAAAATAACATTTTCAGTATGTGACCAGTCAAAACAAGCTGTCGTTAATCCTCCCAGATAAGTTTAACTATAAATTAAACTATTCACAAGACAAAAGTGTAAATGAGGAAAGTATTAAAAAATAAGTACTACATATTTTTGAGCTTTTTATCTTTTTCCTCCAACCCCCTTCTACTAAAACACAATATAATGCAAATGACAGACGTTCATTAAAAACCAGAAGAAGTCACAGACTTTATTTTTTTTTTTCCCACACTATGGAGAAAGTGTCTGTATTTGTCCCTCGACACTGCTCTTTTACATCTAATGTCACAGCTCTCACATTTACTTGAAAGTAAAATATTTCAGGATATTTTAAAGTTCCGTCAAATCTATAAAAATCTACCTGGAGCCATTTCTCAGCATGTGACTTGTGTCCTCTGGGGGAATTGATCAGGTTTATCTGTTGTTGCTTCTTCATGTTCGACTGTTCCTCATTATTGACGTGTGTTAACATTGATAATTCAGGACTTTGGCTCATGCTACTTCCACCATCGACAGGCTAAGAGTGAAAAAGCTTCCTGTTGGCACTGAATACCACATGTACAGTAACTGCAGATGGACATGGTCTGTACCTTCAATACCAACAGCACGAAGAGGATGGACGTCGTGTTTGTAGACGAACTTCTCTTCCAGGACCATCTGCACTGAGACAATGATCTGAGCCATGATGATCAGAAGGTCTCCTGTAGTGGGGTATATTTCAGAAAAGACGCACTTACACTGTTAATTACCGGAGAAAATAAATATAACATAATGTATATATATAAAAAAACAAACATTTTACCTGTGATGACCTCACTGAGTTTGTGCTCGTCGTCGCTGTGGCCGCTGAAGAAGTCCGCGAGGCCCACGATCACCAGGCCCAGGATGGTGATGGCGATGCCCAGCCACTGACTGGGCGCCAGGCGTCGCCCCAGGAAAGCCACAGAGAGCAGACCGGTGAATATGATGACGGCTCCGCGCAGCATCTGGAAGCTGGAGGCGCTCGTCATGTTGAGTGCTGGAAAACACAAAAAAGCTTTTTTATGGGACAAATACCCGAAGGACATTGAATGAACTGGTAAGTGCAGGAGATTAATTTCTGCATTCTGTGATGATATTTTTCTGCCCGAGACCCAAAGACAAACAATTCACATTGTTCAGTGTCGCTGAAAGCTGCAAAACAAAAGTGATCCTGAGGAAAACTTAGTTATTTTTGACTTAATCACCTTTCCTCCTGATGAAAGGCTTCTTCAAACAAACAGTTAATCTTTACTTTTTGGCTTCATCAATGGAAGTCATTACAATTTGACCTTTGACGGGAAGAACAGATCAGGATGTAAGATTTCAAAAGATCCTGTTTACCTCATTTAAAAAACAACACCTGAGCAGTTTCAGTAATCTTGTGTTCACTTACCAACATACATGATGGAGGTGGCCGTCATATCGCACATGGCAGGGGGGAAGAAGAGGAGAGGGTTGAAGCTCTGCCCCTGGTTTATCTTGGGCTCTGGTCTACGTCTGTCATGGCAAAGTACGATGTAGAAGACGGCCAGACAGCTGAACTCACCCAGGAACATACCCACCGCCTGGACTCATGGAGCGACAGAGAGACAGAGATGGACGGGAAACAGATATTAATTAATCTTTGGAAACTGAGAAAACAATCTCTGATTTGATTTTACTTTTACCAGAAGACTGAGCAAATGAATGACAGGATAAACCACAGCAAACTACTTTACAAGGTTTTATATTATTATAAGTTATTTAGATAACAATGTTGCGCAAAGACTAAATGTGTGAAATGAAACTAAATTGACCTTTTTTAAGTTTGAGACAGAGAATTCTTTATATATAAAGTTTCAACTTTGAGATGACATCTGATGCCAGTTTTCAGTTCTTCACCGGTTTTGATATTTGTGTTACATAATCAAGAATCAACGTTAAATACTCGGATGTCTTTGTCCAGTGAGGTGACTTCACTGTACCTGTACAAACGGGTGAGAGAATCCATGCTCGGGGTCATTGTGGCAACCTTTCGCTGTGAACAGATCAGCCCATCTGTCGGAGGAAAAGAAATTATTGCAGTTCAATTATTTTAGTTTTAAAAAGTCATGTAGGTCTAGAGTCGAGTTTTGCTTTGCAGCAGATCCCTTTATTATTTTCTGTTCTGTGTTTGACCAACAGAGGATTTCCTCCTTTTTCACTGAGCACACTGAGGGAACATTTGTTTTACTGTGACCTCAAAAAAAACACTAAAGAGTCAATTGGATAAAGCAACTTGTCACTTGTCAAGTTAATGCATAACCCACTGACTTTTACAGCGAGTCAGAGGTAGCGTGACGGGCATGTGAGCTTCCTGTCTGCTTCAAAAAGCACGACAGGCGAATGTTCTTAAAAGCTGCTGACACAGCAAGTTGTTCACACACAACTTCTGAGCTCATCAATAATCTGAGGAAACATGAGTGGGTTTGTTGCTGACTGATCCAAATATACTTTGACTCTCCTCTTTATGTGTGGTTAACGCATGTCTGGTTCAATATAGTTACACGGTGTGAGGTTGTGTGAAAAGAAAGAGGAAACTTGCACCAAAACTATCAACCTACATGTTGTGACTGGTGTGAGCTGAAGAGCCAGCGAGGCAGCGGCGTGACGAGGCTGGTTTCAGGTGGCTGTCGTGAAACTTTACCTGTTAAGTTGCTGTGCTCGTCTGTACGGAACATGACACAGCTTGTTTTGTCCGACACACAATACATTCACACTACGACAAATAGTACTTTTGTTTAACTGACAAAAAGGGAAAGAGAAGTGTGTGTCATATAATGGAGAGCTGACGTGACGCATTATTAGAGAAGTAAGGATACTGAATTTCTTGTGTCACAAATAAATTGAAAACCTTGTGATAACCAGACAAGTCATTCAAGAACAAAACGTATCATCATCTATTTTGATTATCTTGAGTCATCATCTCTGCTTCCCCCTCTTGTATCGATCAATCAGATTTTATTTTTACAGTCCATATTCACATATCACAGTCCGTCTCATAGGGCGGAGCAACGTGCAACGTCCTCATTGTGAAGTGATTATATTTAGGCTTCGCTCTGCCGGTTGGATAAAAAACAAGAAACCTGAAAATTCTCGTGAGGGGCCTGAAGAGGGATGTGCCTTTAACGCTGTGTCTGTAGATGTGGCCCTAGAATAACTATACACCAGCTTCAGAAGTATACTCCCATGGGTTACACAAATAAATCAACAGATGTGTTAATATAACTTTTAACTTTAATTCAAACAAACGTAATTTGTTGGTGCATCACAAACTTAAGTATTTTTATTCAGTTTATGATGCCTGATGTTTTGGGCCTAAAACCAATAGTGACCCGAGCAGAACATGAATTTAGAGAAACATTACAAGTGACCGACTCTGTTTAACATCACTGTCTCCGCACAGTCATTCGATTTTGATTTGTAGGCCAGATTAAACCTGAAACATCTGCAGACTTCTCTTTCTGAAACCAGATGATAATGAAAGTGTAGTCGCAGCCCATTGTTATCTCCAGCTAATGTGAGTCACGTCCCTTTAAAAACAGGTTTGTTGTTCACACAGCTCCTGAGCCAGGTTGATTAACCAGGTTGATTATGAAGAAGTGTATCTGATGTGATACTGAGCCCCGGGTTAGATTCACGGTCTTCTATCAGCAGCTTCCTGGTCACTATCTCGTATTGAAAAACCACTGAACACACGTTAGCTTCCATTGATAGGATGGTATTTACAGCAGCAGCTTGTTATTTACCTGCTAATGTTACATGCTAACGGCTGCAGGCTGCACTGCAAATGAATGAGAACATGCTAACACAACAAAAAGCTAAATAAACAAACTAGCTCAAACACGGAGCAGCCACTCGGCTTCTGTTTGCTAACCACAGTTTGTGTTGTTCAGCTCCCTGCTGCAGTTAATTCACTTTAACTACAGACACATGACACCAGGGGGACAAACACCCACTGGTTAAATATACTCACTTGGCAGATAACGTGTTGATAGATCCAGTTGTGAGCATCAGCCCCGCGAGGAACAGCTGGTATTTGGTCCAGGCCATGGCGGGACGAGTGAGGGGGACAGACACACGGAGACACAGACGACCACCGAGCTGCTCCTCTGCCTTTTAAACACCGGGTCCGGGTTGTTGTTCTCTCGAGCTCTCTGCTCTCCGTGCGATCTGCTGTGTCTGTAAACGCCACATGACTGCACTCGCAGTCAGCTGACCCGCGGCGCAGACCACGTGCCGCCTTCACGTTCAGTCGGAAATGACGCGACGAACCGAAGCCGCAGCAAATGCGGAAATGAGATAAGATGAGAGCACGCAATGTTTGTTTAAAGGTTTAAAGATTTAGAGGAAAGCGATAAATTGAATATATAAAATGATCCTCGTGATGTTGTAACTCGTGTGTTTCATCTAAACTGTACGATTTGTGGTTTTCTTTACTAGAATGGGCCCTTTATTATTCATTAAATACTTTGTATTAACATATTAACATCTATGTTTTTTTTTACAGTAGCCCAAACTGGACAAACTAAACACCTTTTGAGTTTTTACACACATTTTAAAAGTAACATAAGATAATACAAAAAAGAAGAATTTGAAAGCCTTTGACATTAAAATATATAAATAAAATAATAAAATCAAAGAGTGGAACCTCAGTGTAAGAAATTAGGAAATATTCGATTAAAAGAAAAAGGCAGTGGCAAACAGAAAAGTCTTCAGCATTGATTTAAAAGTATCAAGAGTTATGTCACATCAAAATAAAATTAAAAAATCTATAATGCTCTAAGAATTAAAATACTAGTACTAGTACACTGAGTTGTGTTTTTTCCCACTCAGTCCACTGAACTTCGAGTTGTCATCATGTCTGCAGAACTCAGAATCCGAAGTTTTTTGAAGGGGCTGTGAAGGTAACACGATAGGCCTCATGCATGAACAACAGGTGGAGACAAAGACCAGATATGAATCATCCTCATGTGAGAGTGGGACCTCGGTACATTTCCCCCCTTCTGTGGCCTCACTTTGCCTAAAATGAGAACATGCACTTCATTTCCCCTGAGGATACTGCCCATTAGAGACTCTGCATGTTCGTGCAGCGATAGAAGTGTGGTGTTAACACTCAGTGAGGCAAGAATCCGATGTTTACATGGGAGATGTTTAAGTTTCGGGCAAATGGGTCGAAGGTCAATGTCGAGATCAACAAAAATATGGTCAGAAAAACACATTTCAGGACATCTCCTTACACAGAGACCACCTGCAGATCAGAAAATGATTCCACATCACATGACGCCATACGATTAGTGACGTCATGAAAGAGTTCATAAAATGAATTCAGTGTAAAAATGCATTTTCCATGACATCTTGTGAATCCATACACACGACCTGAAGCTAGACTGCAAACTATTTTATGATCTGGTTGGATTTGGTTGCAATGACATCATCTTGACGTCGCGATGGAGTCAGAGAACAGACAATGTCATGATGATGTCATTATGGAATAGCATTATTAAAATGATTGGAGTACATGCAGTACACCTTCCACCTGCAGGGTCTGCATCGCCCGTGTGATGCTCTTCATTTGAATCAGGTTCATCTTTTTTGGAAACCGACATATAAATCACATTTCTAGCTAAATTGATGATGTTATTACAGGTTAAACCGTCAGTGCCATAATCCTGTGATACCTGTGATACCTGCAGTGCATCTTTATAACTCTCTGCAGTACTAAGCACACCAACATTAGGATACTACACACAGACTTTCTTCGCAGCAGTGTGAGCTATTCTCCTGGTTCCAGTGGTGCTAAGTGGTATTTTGGTGACTTCCCAGACAGCTGATAAGAGCAAGGAAAAAGTCATCTGCTCCGAGACTCTTCTTCAAATGACTCCTCTCCTCTGTCACTGCAGACGGCAGTAAAACCTTTTGGCTCCCACTACTTAACATTTAGCTACAGCTGCTCCACTGCTGTCATGAATGCAAAAAAAAAACTTGGACTTGTTCTTGTGACTAGACTCGTATGTGTCTGTCTCGTAGAATTAGGGCATATACCTGTGATGAATCTACATGGGAATTAGGCTGGTGTAATAATATCACTGCGGTGGGACAGCAGCCAGAGATGTCAAATTCTTACATTACAATATTTTGACTATTCTGGATGGTTAGAGCAGAATGAAAGCCCTTCACGAACATCAGTAACACATGTTAAGTGTCAAGATATCTAGATCCAGTATATATCACGTGGAGGCTTCACTCCTCCTAGCTGCAGAGGCTGAAGATTTGGTTCTGACCGACTCTTTACTGTGTGTCTATCCTGTTATTAAACTTAACTCTTAACACTTAACTCTGACCATCTTTTGCATCTGGGCCCTGCAGATAAGGCTGAGCTCTTATTTCATGCATGTATTGTGGGATATTTGCAAAACATCATCTACAGTCAATGTGGCCTTGAAGAGTCACAACATCTGCGGCAGCTGTGATAAAGAAGATATACACCCAGGAGCTTCATCATTTCACACTGACTGGCCTGGAAGCATAACATTGAACCTCCAGTGGTGTGAGGTTGAACCAGCTCGTCTGATGCCACTGACATGTCACAAACACGGCAGCGTCAGAGGGTGAGGGCTAATTAGAGAGCCGGATGTGCGAGGTGTCCACTGGGGGCAGAATAATACATGACCACCGCTCAGTAATGCTCACCTTTGCATACTTAAGAGAGATATCGCTGATCCCGTGACTCTGAGCTGTTATACAACATCTGCACTGTGCAGCATAAACACAGGACGGTGTTCAAAGATCACCTGCTGAACAATGTAATCAATAATACAACTGGCTGAGAGGCTTGAGATCGCCAATAGAACCTGGTTTACGATGCCTAGAGCTTTGCTAAAACATCTTTATTTCATCAAATTTGACAGAACGACTCTTTTATTGTTGAAATATAAAAATGCTTTAGATACATTTCAAACAATTTCACTTTTAGTTTAGTCTGACCTAATCAGGTTGCAATCAAGTGCTATGTGTTGCTGCTGATTTACCAACCTTAAATTTGGATACTGTTCATGACAACCTGAATAATCACAGACATCCTGCTTCTTACGATTGACCTGACACCTTCCTACCGAGTCTATAAATTAATCTGCAGCGGCTCAGTGGGGAAGCAGGGACCCAGTTGGCTTGTGAAGAGTTTACTGTGAGAAGGGGAAGCATTTCAAAGAACAAGATCTTAACAAGTTCTTTAAAATCGGCTGTCACACTCGTCCCTGGCCTGTGTGATGAACGATATTTGGTGTGTCTGCTCGGATCAGGGTTAAAGCAGGTGGCAGTTAGCGGCTTTAACCTAATCACCTCTGTTGCTAAGTTACTGTTCATCTTACCAGACCAGTTTGATGACTTTTTCTAGCCTCTGCAATCAGTGTAATTGGTTTTCTGCTTCATATTTACTTTGAGGTCTGTTCCTTTGTGTTGACTTGCCACCGAAACACGAACCACAGCAATAACACGTAAAAGTGACGACTATCATCCTGCTTGGCTCCATTAGTCTCCACGGTTGAGCAACAGCAGGCAAAACCCAACAAAACCTATTAAATTCTATTTAAAGAAGATTTTTGGTTGATAATAACTTCATAGCTTCAGGGTGGAGTTGAGGCAAAGCATTCAAATTTAAGATGTCTCTTTAGTTTTTATGAGTTTTAGTGTAAACTGAATTATAACACTGACACGGGCTGTGCACTGTCAAGGATGCAGCAATAAACGTGGATTCCTGCTGGATGGAGAATCTAGATGACAGTAGCAATCAACTCCTGTAAAAAAAACAAAACAATTCAATGCGTCATTTTCCACCAACTCCCCTCCTGGCTATATTTTGTACATTTTAATAGACCATAACAGAAATACTGAGAATTCTTTGTTCTGCATGATTTGTAATCCGTTGTCACCAAGCAATGGCAGAAAATATCCTTGAGGCTTTGCATACATGCACGCACTGTACATTAATTTGGCTCAAATCTGATGTGCTTATGTTATGTAAATGTTCATCTCACCCATGTCCGCGCTTTTCAAGAGATTACCCTTGAGGTCAGCGGAGATCTGCAGCCATATTGATTAAGAGCAAATAAGTTAATTAACCGTTAGGATCAGCAGGAACAGTGGTTGTGCAGGACCCCAAACAATTGCCTTCCCTGTTGCAGGCCTGATGTGAGAGTATAGCAGTCACACTTGTACAATAGGAGTAATGGAAAAGTAAGACAACACAAAGTATGAGATGTTTATATTCCATATGAAAGATTGAACTCCTCTCTGACAGCAGATTAATGCTGCTGCTCCTGGAATTCATTTTATAGAATTTAAACGAAGCTGCAGCCACAAGAGTGAACTGTAAACACAAACCGGCAAAAGTTCTCCGGGTACAATCTTTACTGTCGGGCCGAAAATGTTCAGGATGTAATGGCAACTCATCTTAACCTTTAGAAAACACGTCAACAGTCAATTTGAATTGAATCCTTGTTATAACTGTTGTCTTCAGCGCAGACCAGCACACTCCCAGAAGCCTCTTCATGGGCACACAAAGAACACGAGTTGGAGACTGTCACAGCTAATGTGGTTGACAGACAGTGAGGGGAGGAGAGAGTGCTGTGTGATGAAATGTGTGGCGTAACTCATGAAAAGGTTACGGCACACTTTATCTAAAGGTTAGAGCTCTTCATCTCTTTAAATTAGAGACAGAGCTACAAATTAGTTTTAATATTAGCAGTGTTGGCTGAAGCTGTCGTCTTAATTTGTTCCTTACTATCAGCTTAAAATGATTAAAACCAATTATTAATTATTAGAATTACTAGTTAACATCGGAGTGTCCTATAAAAAAAATGACCCTAAACGTCGACAGCGCAAACAGTTTGTTACAACCTAAAGTCACGATATTGTTACCAAGGTGACAAACGTTCAGTACGCAAGGTTTGCTTCTGTGAGTTGTATCCAAGGGTAACAACCATAGACTATAGATAAATATATAAACATGGATGACACGTCTCCATCTTCTCCAAACGAAGACAGACTATCCAGGATTTGTGTTTCGAGTCAGTCTCAGCTAAAGACTTATTAAAGGCAGGGTTGATAATCTATACTGCAGCCAGCCACCAGGGGGAGATTGAGCTGTTTTGGCTTCACTATTGGGATCTGTCTTGTCATCCATCTTTACATCTGGTAACAAGGTCATTCAGGTTAAACTAATAACACTTCTTTA